CCCCAAAACCCCAAAACCCCAAAACCCCAAAACCCCTAATATTAAATTTTAGATGGATTTCAAAAGATAATCTTAGAAATTAAATTTCATTCCATAAAAAAAGTCTATGGTAATGCGAGTTTTGTGTCCAGCATAAACCCATAATCAGGAAGAATATCAAGTATCCTTTGAACTTTCTCATTGTGATGCCTTTTTGTGGCCATTGAACCTAAATTGATATCCTCAGGTCCTGCATTTTGAATCATAGATTCACCAGGATTGTATAAATTCATGTTTAGACCAAATTTGGCAAACGTATCTTTTACGAAATCCTTGTTATCCTGGCCTATTATCTAAACTTATGGTGCTCCTAAGAAGTCATCAACTCCATCATCTTTTGACTCTTCTGCTTCATCTTCTGAATAATAAGTAGTTGTGACTCTTTATCCTGTTTATTCTGGCTAGTCTTCATCATTATCGTCAAAAGCTCCATCCATATTTTCATCAATGAAGTTTATCTTATTCCTAGTTGATCTGCTTGGCTTTGCTGAATCAGGATTATTAGTGCTCTTTGCCTCAAGCTTGTTTGTCTAGATTGCTAACTATCTATTATTCTTATGGTCATTAGTCCTTGTTATAGGAGACATAATATCAGTCTGTATTATTGATTCAGCCTTTTACATTTACTGAATCTTTTCAATATTGGCATCAGCTAACTCCTTGTTGCTATTTGCACTAGACTCGCCCGCCTTCAGTGATGAAGGTAGCTTTATCTTGTATTTTTAAACTATATTTTCTCTGAAGATATTCTTATCCCACTTCATATTTGAAGCCTAGCTCTACTCCTTGATTTTTCTTTCAAACTAATGGATTTAACCCTAATCCTCATCCATTGAAAATTTCAATGAAAACAGAGCATCATTTTGTTGTTTATTCTTTTTTGATAAGGCAAATTTACTTGTAGTATCATTAGTAGTGCAATCATATTGGACATTTATGATAAAGTCTTTAAAAGATATTAAAGAGTGCTATTTATTTTGGTTATCAGTATATGTTTCGAAAGCCTCAATGTTAATTTGATTCTAGTTTTGTTTAACTGGTTATGATTTTTAATTTAGTACATTCCCGAATGCACTTGATTCAATTTAAACACTAGGAACTAAAGGTAAATCTTCCTTTATCATAGTCAAGCTTGTTTATTTTAGGTAGCTTTAAGTTTATTGAGACTTAACAAGTTTCATAATTCCAAATTATAGATGCTCTTTAAGTAAATCCTGACTTTAATAAATATCTAGTAAGGTGTTGATCTTATTTGGATCTTTTTTGTTCAGTTAACCTACTTAGATTGAAGCTGACTATTATATAATTTGAGGTTCTTACTATACTTCAATTGTTTTTGTGTTTTTATCTTCTGCATCCTCAAAATCATCAAAGCCTTCATCTTCATCATCTTGATTTTTTTAATCTACTTGTTAATTTAGTGGTTAATTTTATGATGTACTTATTTTTACTTAACCATCATCGAAATCCTCATAGTCATCCTCTTCAACTTATAACTTTGGTTCTTCATTGATGGTTTATTAATTTTCTGTTGGTGCATCTTCAAAGTCATCAAACCCATCATTATCATCCTCGTTTTCATTCTCATTGTTTTTATTATTGTCATCTAGATTGTTATAATTAGCCCAAGCAGGCTGATCTTCATCACTCTCACTTTATTTGTCGCTAGTTTATTCTATTTGTTGGTGCTACTAATTTTTATAAGGATCCTAAGCGTCCTCGAAATCATCAAAGCCGTCTTCTTCGTCTTAGTTTGATAATTTCTCTTCTATATTGTTTTGAGTAAAAGTTTAGAAGAGAATCTGATTATTTTACCCCAACTATTAATTAGGTTGAAGATCTTTCTATATTTCCTAATGTGCCTCAGTAATTCTATCATTTTAACTGAATATTTTAGAGTCTGATTTCAGACCTTCATGTGGTGTTTATTCTGTTACAAGAACGTTTTCAACTTTAGCATCTTCGAATTCCTCAAAGTTATCTTCTTCATTATTATCTTCTATTTATTAATTTTCTCCAATAGTTAATTATTCGTTAACTTATTCATTGTTTGTCAAAGATTTTTCATTACTAAGCACTTAGTTTTAGTTAATTTAAGTCTCCTCTTGTTAAGTAAAACTTGGATTCGTCCAACCCCACCCAAATCCATCTCCATTATTATCATCCTCCTGATCAGAAGGTGCTTTTTCATCCTCAGTTTCACCCCATATATTTTTAAAGTCTTCTTATGGTTTGACTTCAACAACTTGCTGTTGACTTACCTCATGTAATGGCTTAATTTCTTAAGTTACGAATTCTTCTTCTTTTTCTTAATAATTATTTGATGTAAAATCGTGATTCTCTTAAATCTCTGACTCTTTTTCAGAAATTAAACTTTCTTGATATTTATTTTGATCAGATTAAGTTACTTAAGGCTAACTTTAAAAATCAGTTTATGCCCAACTAAACTCTTCTTCCTCTTCAAAATTTAAATTTTAATCTTGATTCTATTAGATTTAAGATTCTTATGCTAAATTTTGGTTATTGTCTTAAATTAGTAAGTCTTTATTCCTAATCTCTTAATTGGAAAGATTTTCATGCTAGATAACTCCTTCTTACTATGAGGAAAGCTATTGAGTTAGAGATTCTTATTCATTCTGTTTTGCTTAGATATTTGGATTATGACCTTTGTCCATCTCTTGCATTCCATTTGCTTCTTCAGAAGTTTGCAGTTTTTCAAATTCTTTTTATAATAGCTCTTATTCAAGTTAATTCTATTCTATCTAATTGTAAGAGATTATGTCACTAAAAGCCCTATTTTCTACTTCATTGTTAATAATGGACGATTCTTGATCTCTTTCTATAGTCTATGATTTGTCACCTACAGAGTCTATTAATTCTTATATCTCTTCTTGCTTATTTTCAGATTTTGATTATTCTTCATATTTTGATTAATGATCTTCTACTTTAGCAAGAGATTCACTTACAGCCTCGCCCCAAATCTAATCTGAAAAGGGATCTTCAACTTCTTATTACTATTAAAGATGGTCATTTTTGGGGACTGACTCAGTGCGACCTTCTTCATCACTTGAAAGTACATCATTAATTTCATTTTTTATATCTTCGATAGACTTTATTTCCTCAATATCATCAAGATTTTTTTGATCCTCTTTTTAGATTATATTAGTGTTAAGCAATTAATTTATGTCATTAGTAACCTTATTCTCTTATTACGCATCCCTTTATTCTTCTTCCAATTAAATAGGCTGCTGCAGAGAAAATTGATTTGCCCATCCTCCGTCTTCTAATTGATCTTCTAAATCACCTTCCTCCCCAAATGGATTCGATTATTTTGTCTATTCTATCACAGCAGGAAAAACTTACTCTTCTTTTAAGTAGCTTTAATCTTCTTATAATTGGTTTTATTCTTCAAAAGATTGTTTCGTATTGTCATCATTCTATTTAGATTCATCACCAAAATCCCCAAATTCATTATTTTCTGATTTAACTTCCTCTTTCCTCACAAAATCATCTTAATCTTTGACTGTAATCTACTTCTTCTCTGAATTTTATTAACTATTTTTCTCATTTGAAGAAAATTCCTTAATGTAATTATCCTTAATGTGATCAAAGTTCTCTTAGCTGGAATTTAAATGCTGCTATTATATTTCCTCATCAGGTGTAGAAACTTGAGATGTAGATGATTTTTAAGCTAGATCTTGCTGATTATCAGTGCTCTTATTCTAAGCACTCTGAATAGATTCTACTTCTGGAGAATTATTTTAGAAATTCACCCAGCTCTCTTCCTCTAATTCATTTTAAATCAGAGTTTCCTATTTGCCAGCTGATTAATGATTTTATTGATTTTCATTTGGTTACTAATAAGCGATGGCTGCAAATTAATCTGCCCATGAAACTTAAAAACCATCATCGTCCTCGTCTTCTTAATCTTGCTATTATTCCTGATTAGGAAAACCAAATTATACCTAGGTTTCTATTTTAGTTTCAATCTTTTGCTTTTCTTAAGTCTAATCATCGCCGAATGGATTTAGAAATCCTTCAACTTAAGCCTCTTTTTGACCAGTATCATCTGAAAAAGGATTTTTACTAAAGGTATCAGCTTATTAGAAAGCTTAAGAGGCCCAATCATCTCCATCATCATCTTCTTCTTTATCCTTTTCACTCAGTTTATGTTCCATTTCATTTTGGTCCACATTATTTGTATCCATTTAAGCCCATTAAGGCTATGCCCAGCCATCTTGAAAGTCATCAAATCCAGCAGCATCTTCGTTATTTTGCTTATCCTCCTCTTCATTTGCATCATCATTTTGATCTCCAAACTTGGACCACATTGTCTAGATTATTATTTAAATTTATAATTTAGTTTCCATTGCTGATTAATCTCTATATTTCACATGAGGGGTTTTGGGGTTTTGGGGTTTTGGGG